CAGCCAGTTTGGTGAACTCGTGTACTGAGTTCTGTTGCACTGGAACAAAAAAACACCGTCGCTGACGCCATTTTGGGTACAAAAAACGCTTTAGTGTACACTTTTTGAACTCGTGCAACCAGTGCAGGAACAGAAAACAAACCTAAGATGATGCAAAATCCGAACTTGAAACTTTTATTTAAGAAACGTCGTCGTCGTCGTCGTCGACAGGGCTATGGGGTGGGGGAAATGTCTTATTGGATTTTTCGGCGCTAGAGGCAAATATGGTGCTGGTGCATGGTCACATCACACATGTGTCCGTTTTCTGTGGCTGATGATTAGGTTAGGAAAACTGTCACATCGATGGCATAGTAGAGGACACGTAAGTGATTTTCTGCTTCTACATTTGCACGAAATAAACGAATCTGGCAAAATAAAAATGTATCACTTTACTCCGTGGACCGAGCTCGTTAAAGTTGATCACTATTCAGGTTAGGAAACATATCCGTCATATCGATGGCATATAAATTATACAGCAGAGTATTTGTTTGGTTAAATATTTGTCTGGAAAGCAGAATGTAAAGCAGAATTGATTTCCTTTATGCTATCGATGCAACAGATCTCCTCTGGATATCTGTCAACTTTAATTATAACAATAATAATTAATAACTCGGTTCGCGGTAGTGCAAAAATGCGTTGAATGATTTTATTAACCTCGAGGAGGTTCGACTTTGTACGTACATTATTATGTAACTTGTAATTTAAAGATACGTTTCATGATGCATTTCTTGTCGAGGTTTGTCTCAATTGCAATTTACACAAAGATGTTTGGAACAAAATTTGGAACTTTGTCAAAATTTCATTCACGTATGGTTTAGATATCTGTTTATCTGCAACGAACAATTTCCCAAGCCTGCCAGGAGCTATTGCATATCAAGAAGATTTTTCTCAAATGGAATTTATGAATATGTAATAAACACAAGTAATATTATATTTCATTTCTTCCGCAAATTATCCAATTATTATGTATGATTCACGAAGATAATAAGAACGATATACAGACTTCCTGTTGATTCATATTATAGACACATGAAGAAGCAATCTGTGATTTGATATCGTCAGGAGGACAAACTGTCCAGATTTCCAATAAGTTATTACCTTTGAAGTTATATCAAATATTATGTGTATAAAAGAAAAATCTAATACTTAACTCTAATGATATGTATCATGTGTATAAAAGATTCTATGGGATTTTAAAATTATATACAAACTTACCTTTTTAAAAAAAAGGTAAAAAAGGCGCTAAGATCGTGTGCTTATCCAATAAAACTATTTTACGGTAAAATCTGATGTGCATTTTTAAAAAATCTAATGTGTATGCGCAAGCAAATAATTCAGACAGGTATGCGGTTTATATTTAGTATAGAATAAGTATTTATATGGCGCGCGCGCGTGCGTTATGTATTGTAAAAATATACAAAATTAAGAATAGGATAATTTTAGATTTGTAAGACATTCGTTATTATAAAAGCGATGCGTAGATTTAAGATAGATTTAAGGATAGCTTAAAAATTTAATTATACTTTTAATATACACTACTCAACAAAATCTAGAGAACACTTTCAAACACGCTAAAAATTGAGCAATATTCAGAACACCATAATTCAATAAAAAATCATCGTAGACAAAAAATTGAAAAAGGATTTTAAAGATTGAAATCTCTACTTTCGAAATCTATAATGAAATTTCAATATGACTGATACTTCACGGAGTTATACGGACATAAATGGATATCCGTCAAATCTAAAAATTTTTTACAAAATTTACAAAGGTCTATGGCG